GGGGGGCGGCTCCGGGCCTGCCCTTTGGAGTGCTCCTCTCGGCAACTCTCTCCCAATCTGGGCAACTCTCGGCGAATCGCTGCCGATCTGTGCGAATCTGTGCGAATCTGTGCGAATCTGTGCGAGTCTGTGCGAGTCTGCGCAAGTCTGCGCGAGTCTGCGCGAGTCTGCGCGAGTCTGCGCGAGCAGGAGGGCGGCGCGCCGTTCGTGCGAAACCGCAAGCCTCAGCCGCGCCGCCTCCGCCCGCAGCGCCGCCACCTATCCATGTAGCCAGACGTGTGAAACAGGCGCTGGCCACACTGCCAGCCTCGGCCCGCAGCGCCGCCACCTCGGTCCGCAGCGCTGCCGACTCGTGCACGGGCACGGAGTCGGCGAAGGCGGCCGGGTCGGCGGTAGCCGCGAGGGTGGCGGCAGCGCGGAAACCAGCAGCAGGGTCGGCGGTAGCGGCAGCGAGGGTGGCGGGTGCAGCGGCGGCGGTGTCGGCGGCGGGAGCGGCAGCAGCGGCAGAAGCGGGAGCAGCGGCAGCGGCGCCAGAGCGGTGGTGAGCGCTCGCAGCCCACGCCCCTCCGCCCTCCTCCCTCTCGGCAGCGGCTCGCCTCCGCCAGCGGCGAAGGAGCCGCCGCCGGGCGCACATCGTAGTGAAAGCGCCGCCGCAGCCGTGCTCGCAGATGGCGCAGAGTGCGTCTGCAGCCCAGCAGGCGACTTCGCGCTCGCCCGCCAGCGCCGCGAGGAGGGCCGGCGCGGAAGGGAGAACTGCGCGACAGCCCGCCGCGCTCCTCGCCGCGAGGGCGAGCGCCGAGATTGACCAGCCGCACAGCACCGGGTCGTCGCTGCCGGCCGCCACTGCGAGCGCGCGCATGCACCGTCCATGGATAAGCAGCGCGGGCTCGTGCTTGGCGACGCTCCGCAGGGCCATTGCCGCCGAGACCCGGCAATCGGCTGCTCCGCCCGACACGGCTCGTGTGAGCGGCGCGAGAGAGCGAGCGCCGCGAGGCGGCGGCTGCCAGCGGCGCCGAAGCGCCTCAGATAGGTGCGCCAGGTCCTGGGCCGACGCGTCGAGACTACAGGGGGGCTCCAGTCTGGACCAAGCTCGCATGAAGGCTCAAACCGCAAGGGAATAAAATTAATTCACACACACACTGGCGAGGTACTTCCAGCCTGCTGTGGGAACAGCTGACGCAGTCTCGCCGAGGCTCACCCCAGCAGAGCAGGCGTGACCTGCCTCAGCAGTGCCAGGTCGGCCTGACTCGGCGCTCGATTCAGCCTCCGAGGCCCGGCATCTGGCCAGTGGGTGCACTGGACAGACTCGTGGGTGGAGGTGGTGGCAAAAAGTCCGACGCGACGCGTCCACCCGACTGCGCGGCTTGACGGCTGTCGTGCTGCGGGCACGACAGCCGTCAAGCTCTTGCCGCCGTACCGGTCGGCTGGAGACGCGCGCGCGCGACTCCCAGGGCAGTCTTTGGCATGGCCTCGCCTGCCTGCTGCGCACCCATGCGTGCATGTCGCGCGCAAACATGGTCCTGCGCGTTGGCGCTGCCCACCATTGCGCCATTGCGCGCATGTGGACACGACCGTCGGTGACCACAGCAGCGTGTGCGTCTTGTGATGTACATGTATTTTAGCTCTAAAACTCGCCCGGCGAACACCGACTGCGAGAGAGGGATCGCACGCGCGCGGCGCGCCAGCAGCAGCCCGGGGGGAGGGCGCGAGGGCCTGCCTCGGGAGGGGCCTGCGGCAGGGGGCGAGGGTGAGCTTCAAGGACCAGAAAGGACCTCACCGCCTGGGGGGATCTGCTCTGGGGCACGCGCCCCTTGAACGAGGCTCGGCCGTCCCACAGACTTGACGAGGCCTTTCGAGGCGAGACTCGCCTCTCGGGTTGACTCGGCCAGACAAAACCCCCGAGAGGCGTGGGAGTACCTCGCCAGGACACACACATAAATCCGACGAGCGCGCCGCCCTGACGGTGCACCGAGCTCCTGACTGTTCTTTTTTATATTATACCAAAAGCTAGCCGCCCACAACGCCCTCTATGTTGGGTCAAGGGCGCCTAGAAGAAGGCGCCGCCCCCCGAAGAGGAATGCCACCCGTACCCCGAGCCCCCCTCAACCCTCAGCCCTCGGCACTCGCACTCTCGCACCCCATGTCGCACTCAAGCCCTCAGTTGTCGAGCGACGCCATCTGCGCGAAGTGCGCGCGCAGCTCGGCCAGCGGCACGTTGCGGCTCTTCTTCTCGCCGAGCGCGCGCAGGCTGACCGCCCCCGCCGCCGCCTCGCGCGCGCCGACCACCGCGACGTAGTTGAAGCAGCGCCGCTGGCTCTCCTTGATCTTGTAGCGCAGGTCGCCGTCGCTCACGTCGAGCTCCACCGCGAAACCGTCGCCGCGCAGCGCGGCGTGCACCTCCGCCACCGCGGCGCGCTGGGCCTCGTCGCCGGCGTGCACCGGCACGACCAGCACCTGCCGCGGCGACAGCCAAAAGGGCCAGCGTCCCTGGTAGCGCTCCGAGAGCACGGCCATCATCCGCTCAATCGATCCGAGCACCGCGCGGTGGATCATCACCGGGGCGCGGCGCCGCCCGCCGGCGTCGACGAAGAGGAGGCCGAAGCGGCGCGGCATCTGAAAGTCGAGCTGCACCGACGCGAGCTGCAGCCAGCGGCCCGCCGCGTCCTGCACTTTGCAATCGATCTTCGGCCCGTAAAAGGCGCCGCCGCCCTCGTCCACGCTCCACTCGTCGCCCGCAAAGTCGCGGAGCGCCTCGCGGAGCGCGCGCTCGGCCAGCTCCCACAGCTCGTCGTTGCCGTCGCCGAGCGCCTTGGCAGGGCGCGAGGCAAGCTCGAAGGACGCCTTGAGGCCGAGCTTGCGGTACACGCGCCGCTGCAGCCGCAGCACGCCGAGCACCTCGGCCGCCACTTGCTCCTCCGAGCAGAAGATGTGCGCGTCGTCCTGGCAGAAGCGCACCACGCGGCGCAGGCCGCTCAGGCTGCCGCGGCACTCGTTGCGGTGCACCACGCCGAACTCGGAGAGGCGGATGGGCAGGCTCTTGTACGACACGGCGCCGCCGCGGTTGAACATGACGCAGTGGCACGGGCAGCTCATCGGCTTGAGGCCGACGCGCTGCCCCTCGTGGTCCCACAGGAACATGTCGGCCTCGTAGTGGGCGATGTGGCCGCTCTTCTCGAAGATGCGGGCCGACAACATCTGCGGCGAGAGGACCTCGCTGTAGCCCTCCTTCCAGCACTCCTTCCGCATCAACTCGACGAGCTTGTTGTACACGTGCGCGCCCGCGGGCAAGAAGAACGGCGCCCCGGGAGCGTACTCGTCGGCGAACCAGAGGTCCTTACGCTGGCCCACCTCTTGGTGGCTCAGCGGCGCGTCGCCGCCGTCGCACGCGCGGCACTCTTGGGGTCCCTCACTGGCGTCGGGCCCTTTGTCAGCTTCAGATTCAGCGGCTTCTTTGGATCCCTCGTTGGCGCCGGGCCCTTTGTCGGCTTCAGATTCAGCGGCTTCCCTCCGCGCCGGAACACGTTTCGCACCGAACGGGCTGGGCCTTCGCCGCGATGGACGCGTCGATCACCAGCTGTTCCATTGCGCTCGCCATGTTGTCGCTCTGCATGTTGCGCTGTCGGTCTCCGCTCTCGGTCTCCGTCTGCACCGCGTCCCTGCCGCGGCTGTGGAAGGGTCGATGTGAAGAAGCCGGATTGGGTGAGTGTGTTCTCGAGGTGGATATCCTTTGGCCGCGTTGGGTAGCGAGGATTGGTGTAACCCGAGCCACGGAGGCGTGTTTTCTGACGGCCGACCGTCAGTGCACGGAGTTGCCCCTTCTCCGACTGCCCCGGCTAGTTCCCGAGGTCGCGCGGGAGTGACCCCTGCGTCCCCCGAGACCTAGCGCGGGTGGGTTGGAGGGGGCTCGCCCCGTTCCTCCCCATCGGGCCGCGTGAGCGGCCTCGCCTCGCAGATTCGTTTTTCGCGCCTGGGTCAGGCGCGCGGGGCATCCCCCGGGTCGCTCGACCAGCGATCCGAAGAGTGGCCGCTATGCGAAGGAAAGAGTGGGGCCCTCGGGGTACGCCTCCGTCCGGCCCCCTCCGAGGGGGGAAGGGAATTGTGGGGTCCCCACGGGCGCCTCAGTTCGGCCCTCCCGAGGGGGGGGAGGGGAGCAAGGGGGTGGGGGGATCGGGGCGGTGGGGAGGGGTCTCGGTTTCATGGGTCTAATGCTTGCCTTTCGGGGAGGGGCCTCGGGAAAGGCGAGCGCAGTGGCGCGCGCCCTACGTAATCCCCTCCTCCCCAGAGGCAGCGAGTAGGCAGCGAGAGGGGGTATCGAGCGCCTATATGGAGGTCACGAGGCTGCGTGGCGACAGGTAGAGCTGACCAATGAGAATTGGAGCTGGAGGATGATTGATGGCACCTGTGGCGGCCACTACACCAAGCTTGGGCCGGGCGGCGTGAAGAATTGCGAGGAGCTGAACATCAAGGTCGAGATCCCTCGAGATCCACCTCCGACACACCGGAAGTTGGGGACAGCTCACCGTGTGTGGAACAGGTCGACTACTCGAGCGCCACCGTCTCGATTGGTAACTGGACCTTCACCGTGCGTGGTAACTCTGTCTACGACCGCATCTCCGGTGCCCTTTCTGAGCGATTCCCAAGACGTTTCCGAGACCACTGATGGATGTCACGAGAGTTCACAACACTCGCCCGCGACACATTCCTACATGCCCTCACCAGCTAAATCTCGCTGCAGCCCTGACGCTCTGGCTGCTGCGCCCGCAGGCCCGTCGCACAGGCTCGACATCGATTTTAAGGCATGTGGCGCACCGCGCCCTGCCGTAGTCGGAGGCTGGCACGGGGAGAGAGGGAGAGGCCCGGCCCGGCCCATGCTCTGGCCCATACTAGCGGGGCTAGACGCAATTCCCGTCCCCTCTCCTCAAGGCGCACGGCGACGCGGCTGCGCGGAGCATGCCCCACGGTCTGGTCGGCCAGTCGTTCGCTTGGGACGGCGCCAAGAACGGAAAGACAGACGAGTACCCAGAGTCCGGCTACTACAAGACCTCCGCGATGGCGGAGGGCGCAATCGAGGGCGAGGCCGCAATGTACCAGGTCGCGTCTGCCTACGAGACGCACTTCGCCTTCTCGCGCTTCGATGCGAGCGAAGCGGTGGTGTCGGCGTCGGCGCTGCCGCGCTTCGCAGACGCCTCGGCCACCGACTGAGGCGGCCGACATGCCGGATCGCTTGGAGAGGCGAGAGCGCCATTGGACTGAGACACCACATGGCGGCAAGCGACAAGATCTCACGAGGTAACTGGTTCAGAGGAAGGGTGGATGTGCGGCGGCGGCTCAGCAGAGGGCCGGCTGCTTTTGTTCCTCGAGTGGTTCCGATGCGTGTGGAGAGAGTGCGCGCGTAGTCGGGTGTGTGTGGGGCGCTGCCAAGCACAAGGGCGCGGCCGTGTTGTCTATAGCCGATCACGTCTGGCGTTTAGTTGTGTAAAGAATTAAAGTCAGTTTTCTTTCTTTGCCGCCGCACGCCCCGCGCCCAACATGTGTGCTGACCCCAATTCTTTCTATCCTCTCGCAAAAACTGAAACTCGCCCGCAGCCGCACGTGCAAGGCGCCAAGCGCAAGCCTTCACCTCAGGTCATTACTCATTACTTACTTTTAGGAGGCGGTGAAGGCGGGAGAGACTCTGCTCTTTGACGAGGAGCGGGCGGAGGTGATGTGGTATGCTCCTGTGTGGCGGGGGGCGCGGGGGTGGGTCGCCGGGGGGGGTGGGGGGGTTGGGATGCGATGGGGATGGTCTTTTCGGCTTGTGCTCTTTTCTTGGTACCTGTGTCGAACCTGAGGATTTCACTCAGAGTCCCACGACCCGAAGACATGCTCGAAGAGTCCCATGCATTGCAAGCTAGCAAGCAGCGCCAGCCGCGCGCGGGGCGCAGCAGCAAGTGCAGCACTCCCTCACTCTGCGGACTCTGGTGTCTGAGAGATGCTCGCACTCTGCTCTCAGACACCAATGGCGCACTGGCTACGCCACTTTCTCACGCCACCGCCCACCCTTCGTACGGCTGTGTGGCAGCTCCCCGGCGAGACCTCGAGGGACTGCACGCGCGCCCGCGCGGCGCCGAGCCCAGCCCACAGCCACGATCGTTCACAAGAGAACGCGCCAGCTGTCCTTGCGCGCGGGCTAGGCCGCCTCCCGCGCCCTGGCCCTCGCAGCGGCAACTGACGCGCGCCTCGCCTTGGCTGCGGCGAGCGCCGCCTCTGCCGCCGCCGCTGCCGCCTCGGCCGCCGCTACTGCCGCCTCGGCCGCCCCCTCCTAGGCGCGACCAAGCTGTGCATCCGACACGGCGGCGGCAAGCGGCAGGCAAGCGGAAGAGCCCCCCCGCCGGCAAGAAGAGGTGCGCGAGATGCGGCAGAGATCCGCTGTGTGGGGAGAGAGGGGGAATTGCCTCACCTCGCCCGTCTCCCTCCCAAAGGGCAAGAAGGGCAAGACGCCAGTGGCGGGCAAGAAGTGGGGCGCGCCTCGACGGAGCCGGAGCCGGAGCCAGACGAGCCGGCGGCGCCCGAGCCGGCGGCGGAGGAGGCGGGAACCCGCTGAGAGTGCCCCGAGATTTACCCAAGCGACGGCGGAGATGGAGGTCCCGAGATTGACCCCGAGATCGCCGCCGAGATTGACGCCCTCAGATGACATCTCACGCCTCGAGATCGCTCAAGATCGCAGGCGCCCGTCTCGAGGGAGAATTCTTAAAATACAAGGGAGAAGCCGAAGCGCGGCCGCCCCAGCGCCGAGAAGGAGGAGAAGCCGGAGGCGAAGCGCAGCCGCCGCGCCACACGCGGCGGCGCCTGACGGCGCGGCGGCACCCAAGCGCAGCCCCACGGCCGTCGGCTCTAGACAGCAACGGCTATCCGTGCTGCTGTGCGCCCCCTGGTGCGTGGTTGCTTTCAAGTTCTTAGATCACAACCCAAGGATGATATAATAAGGCAAAAAGATCGTTGCGCCTTGCCGATCCGCACCTACCCAGGCTCTTGGGTGGGCGCCCACTACTCTTCACAACGAAGCTGGTTCTTGTGCACGCGCTCTTGGCAGAGCTCCGAATGAGCGACCCGACTGGGCGCGCTCAACCTCGAGAGCCGTCTCCGCGCGCGCGCGCGTGTGTGTGTGTTAAACAAAACTGTTCAGCTTTGCGATGGACTTTGGCAATTACGGCACACCTCGCGGGTCTCCCGCCTCGGAGCTCTACGCCACTGAGATCCACGAGCTGCACTCACGCTGCCGCTTCCGCTACGAGCCTCTCCGCTCCGCCTTCCCATCGCTCACCGTCTCTCACTACACCGACACGGACACCTACGACCGCTTCGACGGCGTCGATCTCACGCCACACAACCATCGCAAGTACCAGCCCGGCAGCGGCTGGGCGCTCGGGCTCCAGCCTCGCACCAGCGATCGCGAGCCGCAGGGAGCGCTCTGCGAGGCGGTGGCGGACGGCGGCGCGACGTGGGCCATCCTTCGCGTCGGGCCGTTCAATTCAACGGGCGGGTACGACTGGTGGCAGTTTGCGGCGCACGACGCGCTCAACCTCTCGCGCCGCCTCGAGGGCGGCCGCACTCTCGCGCTGCACTCGCACTATGTCGTCGGCGTGCGAGCAGAGGACGGCGGCGTGCTCGGCTATCCGCCGCTGCACATGCACCACCTGCACCTCGTCCCATCCAAGCCGTGGCTCCGCTACCAGTGGCCAATGACGGGCGCGAGCTGGCAGCAGTGGCTTGCGAGGGCGCGCGAGGTTCAGGGCTTCTCCTCGTACGTCCCGAACTATGTGATGGAGAGCCACGGGGAGTGGGACCCGTGCCACATCCGGCAGGGCGACAGAGACAGGGGCGAAGGCGGCGGCGGCGGCGGCGGCGGCGGCGGCGGCGGCGGAGGCAGCGGCGGCGGCGGCGGAGGTGGCAGCGGAGGGAGAGGAGGTGATGGTGCTCCCCGCTGCTACGCCGAGACTTTGCCGCGCGGGTACTACCACCCGCTTCGCGAGTTCGCGCTCGACATGGAGGGCGAGGTGAACGACGCACGTGCGGCGGGCTCCCCGCCGCTCGCGTGGTACTTGGAGGTCGGCGTCGGCTTTGAGGAAGCTCCGGTTCCGATGGCGACGGTGGAGACGGTGCCGACGGCGGAGGCGGCGGAGGCGGCGGAGGCAGTGGCGCGGTCTGCGCCGCCTCGGCCGCTCTCGTACGCCGTGCTGGTGGAGGACCACCTCTCGCTGGTCCCGTCGCACCAGTCCACGTACGAAAACTACTACTGGGTACCGACGGACGGGAAGCACGTGCACTGGTATGAGGGCGAGATGCCGTCGTCTGGCCAGCTGGTTCGCATGAAGCACCACGCGCACATGTCTCTGCTGCGGCGGGCGTACTTTGTCGCCGGGACCGCCGAGGAGCTCGGGCTGCACAAGCTGCTGCCGCGAGACAAGTTCGGCGAGCAGCTACCGCTCAAGTGGCCGCAGGCGGGCCACTCGTGGCGCTGGCCGTCCTCGATACCCATCGTCGACCTGGACAAGCTAGAGACGCTGCTGCTGAAGCGCATCGACCGGCTTCCGGGCGGGCGCTCGAGGATCATCTGCACGCTCGACGCGGCGCGCGAGGAGGCGGGCGGGTATCCCGGCTACGTGTGGGACCGCGCAGGCAAGTCCGTGTGCACGCCATGGACCTTCCGGCGGGGCGACCCCTTCCTCTCGGTCGCGCTGCTCGAGTGGCACGGCGGGCGGCTGGGCCCTTGGGCCAACGAGTCTGCGCCGCTGCCGGAGCTGCTCCCAATGCACACGCAGTGGAACTTGCTCTTCGCCGCCGCCGACGGCGCGTCGCACTACTTCATGTACCCGGCCTTCCTCGCCTCCCGCGCGCTGCCGCTCGTCGAGCGGGCCCTTGTCCCGCAGGAGCAGGCCGCCACGCAGGTGAGGACGCGTCTTCACAGCCGCACGTCTCGACAGGCGATCTTCCGCGAGATGCTGCTCGTGCAGAACTGGCGCGTGGTCGTGCCGCTCAACGGACCCCTCGGTGTGCGCGCGCAGCACTTTGCGCATGCGGTGCGCCGCGCGCCGCCACGGTTGCTGGCGGCGGCGGGGTTGGTGGGCGCAATGTTGCTCTGGCGGTGCGCGCGGCGCGCGCGAAGGATAAAGTATCACGCAATTTGACTGTGCCGCCCACCAAAACTCTAACCCTAAGTCGGCCCATTCTTCGTGGTCGGCTCTTCGGAGGGGCCGCAGTCAGTTTGCCGGAGCTAAGGTAAGGTAAGGGCTAGAGGGAGCGGACCGTGAGTTGAGGAAATCGAGGGACGCGACCCACTTCGCCACAGACGGTCCCGCGCCTCGCCGCTATGACGGCCACACGACCGCAGCTCGTGTGCGTGTGGCCGTCTTTGTCCGGAGTGAATACTCCAACGCGCTCGTCGGTGGCGGCGTCCCCCGATTTCGCCGCGCTCGGCGAACCTCGACAGCGCTTTCGGTGGCATGCAGCTCTTTGCGCCTGAAGCCTGGAGAGCAGCTCCTCTGCTGCTCACACACTCTGCACAGTTGACACAGCCTATTGTGCGGCTGCCACAGCTGTGACAGCGATGGGCTCGCCCTCACTGGCCCTCAGTCACTTGTGCTGCGGCTTGTGTGAGCGACACTGCTCGGCGACTGCCGGCACACTGTGAGACCATGGGTGTGAGGTCAAACCACGCTACCAGCGCTTGGTCACATCGGCCCCGAGGTCAGATCCTTCTACTCTGTTGATGACAAGACTTGTCTACTGGCTGGAGCCGAGCAGGAGGGCCCAGCGCACAACCCCTGGTCAACTCAGGGTCCACACCCCGTAGTTCCATTTCACTCTGACACGCTAATCTTGAAAACGCGTCCAACGGAGCTCCGTGTTGCTCCCAGCGGAATGCCCCGCGCTCCCTGCGGCCCTAGCCGATGATACTAGTATGAGAGGTCATCTGGCTACCGCGAGCGCGACTCAACTCGCCGACGTCGTCCGATGATTGTGCAAATAAAGTCAGCCTTCGGAGGCTATCGGTGGGGTCGAGCCGGCAGTAGCCGTGACATGTGGTTCCACCACCCCTCGCAGGCTTTGCCTCTGACCGCCACCGTTCCCAGGCTGCCTAATGGGATGGAAAGGAAGGCTCGGCGAGCGTATAGAAGCGTGCTCGACCTCGTCGTGGCAACCTGCACGGCAGCGCTGGTGGGCGCGATGAGCGTCGTGCCACCTGACCCAAGACGGGTCGCAGGCGTCGTACCGAGCGTGTCGAGACCGTGTCCTGATGTGATCTGCACGGGTGAGTCACGTCGGCGTCAAAGGAGCGACGTGCGACCTGTCAGAGCTTGATCTCCGATCTCAGCGACGTCGAGTCGTCTCCGGCGCGCAACAAAGGTACATACCCAGGACGCGCAGAGGCAGCTGCGACCCCGCCGAGTAGACGGCGGCACACAGCGCCACCTGCTGTGTGCCGCCGTCCACTCGGCGGGTTCGCAGCTGCCTCTGGAAGGCACCGAGATGTACCTTTTTCGCGCAATGGTCAAAATCAAGGTTTTGTAACGCGAGCTGTGCCACAGTGAAATGGAACTAGCCAAGGTAAGGTAAACTTCTCCACACACACGAGGTGGTGGGGCAAGGGGGGGCAACCCTCGCGTCTCCACGTCTGACGACAGGAGCCCCACGGCATTCAAAGTGCAAGGCCCGGTGCGCGTGGGTGAGCGGTGTGTGTGTGTGTGTGTGTGTGTGTGTGTGTGTGTGTGTGTGTGTGTGTGTGTGTGTGTGTGTGTGCGTGCGTGTGTGTGTGTGTGTGTGTGTGTGTGTGTGTGTGTGTGTGTGTGTGTCACGTCACTGCATCCTCCGCCGGTTCCTCCCGTCGCCTCTTCTTTGTTCGAATGTTTTTCAATCCATCCTTCACGAAGCCCTCCCATGTAGCTAGCGTTCTTGGCGAATGTCTCGAAATGGCCAGCAGGCGCTGTCTGCTCGCGGTCTGTGCGGGCCGCTCGTCCTCCTCGCCCTTCTTTCGTCCTCCCGTCCCTCCCCTCCACCATGGCCTTCTCGGCACTTCTTTCTCCATCCGCCTCGCCCTGCCTTTTCGCATCGTGCCGTTCGCCCTCCATTCGGTGACCTCCATGGCTGTCCGCCCCTTTTTGGGTGGCGCTCTCGATACGGTTGCGTCAACCTCGACGTCGCTGTCGCCCTCCCCGTCCCCGCCGGCGTCCGTGCCTCGGTTCGCGTCATCGGTAGCGTCTCCGTTGTTCCCTCGTGCCCCGCCGTCGCCCTCTCTGCTCGGGCCGTTAGCGATTTCGCTCCTCCTGCGTGTCGCCCCTCCGTCCCCTCCCCTTTCTTCGTCGTCATCGTCGCTGTCGCGAAAGCCCTCCGGTCCCTCGATTCCCTAATCGGCCCGGAGGGTAGGGTTGTCAAACCTTAACTTTGGGCCTAACAGTTGAGCTAGTGTTGGCTGAAATCCTCAACGTTGTTCAAGTGTTCTCCCCAGCCCAAGCTGTTACTGTTGTTACTGTTGTTACTGTTTGTTCAGTGGTCAGCAAGCAGAAAATGCCAAAAAACCCGGCGGGTAAAACCCGAAAATACCTGGGTTTCCCGGGTATTTTTGGGTATTACCCGCACTGGACGCTGGAGATCGTCGTGGGTCACTGCCATCCTCACTCACTCGCGCTCGCTCGAGGAGGCCTCGATAGGGTTAGGGAGGAGGAGCTCGCTCGCTGGCGCGTCGCCGTCGGCGAGAGCGGCACTCATGAAGCGCGAGAAGGCGAACGTGGTGGCGTGAGGAAACGCCACCTCGTACATGGATTCATCTCCCTCGATGGCGCCCTCAGCCTGTGCGCTCGTGGCGAAACGGCCGGAAGCGGGGTAGACGTCTTGCTTGCCGCGGCGCGGAGCGTTGGTCGTGAATGACTGCCCAATGATGCCGTGCGGGAGGGAGCGCGCCGCCGCGTTGCCAATCTCTTTGAACGTCAGATCGAGGCGGTGGGTTGGCCCGCTCTTGCGGTCAAAGACGTAGTTTCCCCGCACGATGACGGCCCAGGCGTCGCGGTACTTGAAGGTGGCGCTGGAATACCTGTGTGCAGGGCGAGCAGTTTTGCTTGGAACTCAATCGCCACTAACGGGGCGCCCAAAGCCCAAGGGTGTCGAACAGACTTCATCTTGATGTCGAGGTCGTCGCAAGCCTTGTGGCCGCCGTAGCCGAATTTGAACGGGCGGCTGGCGCACGTGCCGTTGATCACGTGGGCGCCTAGCCAAAGTGAAGGCGATGCTCATGGTGGGGTGGGTGGGACGGGGATGGGCGGGAGGGGGAGAGGGAGTTGGGTGGGGACCGGTGTTGTAGTCGTCGAGCTGGTCGGCCCAGAAGGACGCGTTAGCCCAAGCCCACGCGGGCAAAGAGACGCCTCCAGCGACGACGTGCACCTCCGTGATGAAGGAGCCGTCCACGACCAGATCTTGCAGGGGCTTGCGGAGGCGGAAGGTGGCAGCCTCCGTCTTGACGTTCACGGCAAAGCCTGGCGCCGAAAGGAAGTTGTAGTAGACGCCGTCGCGCCCCCTGAAGTCGGCCTCACCGCCGTGCGCAAAGTAGAGGTGCCTGTGAGGGCAACAGAAAAGTGCGAGCGCCGCGTTTCTGTCTGTGGCACGCGTACCAGTTACCTGCGAGGAGAGTCGCGGTTGCGCTACAACAGGCGATGGGGTATCTGATACTCGCGCACGGGTCTTGCTCTGCCCCAGCAGGCGGAGATGGCGGCGGGATTGAAGCGCATTCAGCTGTGAAGTAAATACACGAGGCAGCAGCCTGCGTATCACCAGAAAATGATATCCACCCGAGCCCTACAGCTCCGCCGTAGGAGGCGTTTCCGATGCAGATGTCCAAAGTTTGCCAAGAAGATCCTGCCTTAAGCAACGGGAATGGTCCCTCGAGCGGTGCCCCCGAGGCGTCCACAGTCGCGAAATGATTCTTTTGTTGAGAATTGCCATCTGCGTCGTAGTAGACCAAACGCACGGTGTGTTCGTTCACTTCGCCATAATCGCCGTCACTTCCGTCGCTCATGTAGCTGTCGGGCACCTTTTTTCTGAGTGCACCCACAAGGGCTGCCCATCCGACGAGTTTGAGTAGGCCTGGAGGGTCATCGTGGTCCAATTTGGTCGGTCTTCGTTGACATACCACCATGAAACGATAAAAGCCGCCCTCGAGAAGTCGCACGAGCCCAGCCAAAGACCGGAAGAAACCGTAGCCGGGTACTCGTAGGAACCGAGACAAGTATCGTCGCTACCGTCCGGTTTGAAGAGGACATACTCGTTGCTGGTTGCGCAGCGCAGCCATGGTTGCGTCCACATGGTTGCGGCCATGGGTTTCGGGAGGCGGTTTCGGGGACGGTTTTAACCACTCAAAAGGGGTCAATCGAATCTTATCAGAAAAGAGTTTTACGACAGCACTCTCTCGCACGACACCGGGTACGGGACTGGCACTACAAAGGACACAGCAGACGGCCCCCTCAGGGGCCATCGTCATCGAACAAGTCGATCTCTGCACGATTCTGCCACGGCTGGCCCGCCCGCCCTGTTGTCAAGCGTTGTGCTGTAGACGGGTGTGGGTGTGGGTTGTCGCTGACTGGGGGGAGTGGGGACTGACCGACGCCGGCTGGTCTTCGGCGTGTCGAGGGCGGGCGCGCAAAAGGCCTTGCCGCCATCGCGTTGCCGCGAAGGAAAAAGAAGTCGATCACGAGGCGGTGGCAGGAGGGGGCTCTGGGGCGGCGGAGGCGAGCGCGGCGGCCACGGCCGGGGAGGAGGAGGTCGAGGGCGCTGCTGCCGCCGCCAAGGCGCGGGCCGCCGCGCTCCGGAGACCCTAATTGTCGCCGATCCTTCAGCGACGCGCCATACCGACACACCGGGCACACTTCGCAGCCAGTTCTTTTGTTTAAAAGAATGTTTAAACTCTTTTCTGGGGCGCGCCAAGGAGGAGCGCGAGGAGCGCGCGGAGCTCGCTCCCTTTGGGGAGGATTACGGCTCGGGAGGGCTAAAACACGGGTCTTGCGGTTCACGGGTCTTGCGGTTCACCCTTCATGCTCTCTTCGTGGCGAAGCATCTTGTCGATGATTTCCTCAATGCTCCCCGAACTCATCGCATTTCTGCTGGTAGCGAGCTGTGAGCACTCGTGCTTGTGCGTCTTCTTCCAGTGCGCGCGCTGGCACTCTGCGCTACAGTAGGCAACCATGTGACACCGCGAGCATCGCTTCAATTGGTCCGCCGGATTTCCGTTCCACTTGGTGCCGCACTCCGCGCATACCTTTAAAGCTTGAATGCGCTCGGTGCCGTAGTCACTCAGCTGCGCTGTGACTCTCGCCAAAGATCGCTCCCTCTTGGCAGTTTGCTCCGCAGATTCCCGGCATGGTGACATGGAGTGGGCAAGCTTGTTCGGGTCCGCGCACGATCGCAATATGTCTCGAAAGGAGGCCACGTCGGGTGCTTGCGTGAGCCGGAAGAGAGTTTTCACGGCGAGCTTCTTCTTCTGAAAGGCAGGTAGCAGCAAATCTGTAGTCGTTGCCGCGCCGTACGAGTCAATAAAGGTCGTGTCGACCTCAGCGACGCCCAGTAGGGACATGAGGCTCGTCTCGACGCGAGAGAGGTCGGCGATCGCGTCGTCCCAACAGAGGCCTTTGCCTGTCTGCTTCTGCAAGGTCATCTGCGCTGAATACAAGCAGACGAGATTCGCGAGGCCGCTGCTGCAATGCTGAAGATCTCGCTTGTCTTTCATCGCCGTCCTGACGGCTTCCACGTAGAGCGTCTCCGATGTAGCCCAGCGGCAGGCGCGCTTGTACGCGAGCCCCGCGTTGACAAGGTAGACAGACACCTGCTTGCCCCCCCCCGCGGCGATGAGCACACGAGCAGCCTCTTCGTATAATGCAGCTGCTTCCTCAAAACGGCCGCATGCCTCGAGCGCCTCGGCGAGGGCCGTTTCAAGCTCGCAGCGAGCGGCGGCGCCGACAAAGCCAGGCTGCAGAGAAGCCACCTTGGGACCGTTTCGTGCACCCGCGAGCGACGCGTCGAGAGCGCACGTGTAAAAGTCCACGAGCTCAACCCACATCTTCAAGTCGCGATACTGCGAGATGAGCTCGCGTTCAATGGAAAAGATCATGTCGTCGGTAATCTCGGAGGTCGTCAGAGAGCGGAGAAACAAGTGCATCACGCGCAAGAGCAAGGCACGCGCAAGCTTATCGTCATCAGACACGTGGCGGAGGTAGCTTTCATCCTTTGCAACCGGTTGAAGCATGGCGCTGTACTCAAAGCATGGCAACACAGCGATGCCCCATGTCAGCTGACCGTCGGTTCCAGAAAGGCCTGCCGCCGGAAGGACGCGGACCTCGAGTACAAAGGCGCCCGCACTATTCGTGGGGCAGCTCACATCGAAGTCCAGGTGGTCGCCAGTGAAAATCAGCTCGTACATTCGCAGCGCATCGCCAGCCAGCGCGTTCGTGCGCACGCGAGTAGGCAGTGACACGCGCTCGAGCGATCCAAACGCTGGGTTGGCAGGCGGCGACGCCAAGGTGAGGTTGGAAAACTTCACCTTGACTGTCTCGCCTGTCACTCGTCGCACGATGCACCGATTGGTAGCTGGGTCCTCGGCGATGCAAAATCCGTGAGTACCGTTGAGGTCCTGTCGGCTCTGAAGGCCAATGAGCTTGACGAAAGTAAAGCGTGTTGGCTTCGGCGTGGGCGTGAGGGCCTCCATTGCGGCGACGAGAGGGCAAAGGGAGCAATACGAGAGCAGAGGGAGCAACGAGAGGGCAAAGGCAGAGGGCCGGCACGAGATCGCAATTGAAGCTTTTTTTTATCAAAAGGAGGGCTACACGACGCCCTCTACGCTGGGTTTTTGCTTTTTTCCCTTGCTCAGCACAAGGTCTCCTCACATGGACAACCAAGAACTCACCAAGAACTGGCATGGCCTGCAAATGCAGCGTTTGTCTGTCGTCACACCGGCGGGCCCGCTGTCTGAACACAACTCGGCCTTTGATATCCGGTCGGTGCGGGCCCGAATCGAGGAGGACCGGTCGAGGGGGGAGGCGACGCAACTACTGCGCAGTCTACGACCCGTCGCGGAGCGACGGGAAGGAGAGGCGGGGCCGTCGGCGAATCCGGGTCCTGCCCCCCCCACCCCCCTCTCCCGAGGGGAATTGAGAGCTAGGCCCCCCCCACGAGCGGGGTGGACGGCCGACGCGTGGAACCACGGCTGGAACGGCCGCAGGGGCAGGGGGCATCCCCCGGCCGAGGCCCCGCCCCAGGAGTTGCGGCGGCCGGCGCCGCCACCAGGCCCGCCCCCGCCACCACCGCCTACTTATCCCAGCCATCCTCAAGAACAGCACGACTGGCTACAAGAACGTGACCTTCAGCCGCAGCAGCAAGAAGTTCAAGGCGGAGGCGAATGCTGGCGGCAAGGGTGTCCACCTCGGCTACTTCGACACCGTCGAAGAGGCGGCCACCGCCTACGCTCGGTCAGAGTACGGCCGCGCCGACGCCGCCAAGCTGCTGCAGCCTCGCCCCGCTCCCACTCCCGCTGGCGCCGAGGCGATACGGCAGGCGGAGAGGGAGGGCCTCACCCTCACCGCCAGTAGCAGCAGCAACACCGGCTATAAAGGCGTCTGCTGCCGCCCAACCTGGTTTGTGGACCTCCCGCACCTTACCCTTACAGGCCACCATAAGGGACCCCGTTGTCCGTTTGACATCAGACTTTTTTTGAGTTGGAGGTAATAATTAAAAGGATTGCACTGTCCCAAAGAACTGATTCATTCATTTCACCCTCACATAGTAACAATACCTCAAAGTTGAAAACCTCCAAAATAGGCCGTCAGGACTCTGTCAGGACTCCGTCAGGACTCTGTCAGGACTCTGTCAGGACTCTGTCAGGACTCCGCCAGGACTCCGCCAGGACAACCACTGCCCCCCCGCTGTGAACAGAGCCCTTAGCTAGAGAGTAGGGAGGGGTGTACAGTCGAGTTACTCCCGAGGGCAGGGACGGCCCTCCACTGAGGGAAAGGGCGCAACGGGGACGGTATGCTCACAACCCAGCCACGCAGCTCTTTGCTCGCGTACAGCCAACGAGTTTGCTGGTCCACAGGCAGGCCAGGCCGTGAGCGTGGGCCGGTCGGGCCTGATCCTGCGGTGAGCACTGGAGGGCTATGCGGCTCGCTCCGTCAGCCGACTTGCGCCGTCGAGCGGTCGAGCGCTTCGGGTTGGACCCGCGGGAGGGTCCCTGCGCGGCTGACATGGCCAGCCAAGCCGTGTGCGCTGCCGTGGGCGCTGTCGTGGGTGCTGCCGTGGGTGCTGCCGTGGGCGCTGCTGTGGGCGCTGCCGTGGGCGCTGCCTCGGTCAGCAGTCGGTCAGCAGTCGGTCAGCAGTCGGTCCGCTGCTCGGCGCTGGCCTGCAGGCCGCCGGTGGCAAATCGGGGGGGCGCGGGCCATGGACGTCGTGGCCGAGCTTTGCTGCCTTCTTGCACGTTGCCGGCTGTAACGTTGCCTGCACCATGGCCGCGCCTCTCTTGCTTGTGCGCTTTCATGGTCGAGCCGAGTGGCGCGAGAGTGAGCGTGATTTCTTTTGTCTGTCTGGACTCTAAGTTTCTGTCAGGACTCTCAAGTTTCTGTCAGGACTCTCAAGTTTGCTTGTCAGGACTCTCAAGTTTGCTTGTCAGGACTCTCAAGTTTGCGTCAGGACTGCCCCATCAGGACGATTCCGCAGAGGGCGCGCACGGTCGAAAGGGGGGCTGGGCGTCTATCATTCACTGCTGGGGGGGAGGGGAAGGAGGGTTGCAGTGAAGGAAGGTGGAGGTCCCGTCGGAGGCACTTGTGAGCACTGTGAAGACCGTGCGCCGTCAGGACCCCGCCAGGACTCTGTCAGGACTCTGTCAGGACTCTGTCAGGACTCTGTCAGGACTCTGTCAGGACTGTCAGGACAGGTGCGGGAGGTCCACAAACCAGGTTCGGCCCGAAGCAGCAAGGCAGCAAGAAGTACCAGCTGAAGGTGATGATTGGCGGCAAGCAGGTCACCCTCGGCTGGTTCGCCACCGCCGAGGAGGCGGCGCTCTTCTACGCCCGCAGGGAGGCGGGCAGGGACACCAGCGATCTCACCGCGCCGCCACCGCCGCCGCCGCCGTCCTCAACCTCTGCGGAGCTGCCAGTGTACGAGCTCAGCATTCTGACGCCTGAGCAAATGGCCGCCGTCCCGAATAGTCCACCGTCCAATTTGGACTATAGTCGAGCGCGTCGGAGAGGTGTTTGGAGACAGGCTCATGATTATGCGGCAGCCCTAGCGGCAGCGCCAACTTATGGCAGCCCGAGCGGCAGCGCCAGTGCGCGCACATAAAGGGGGGTGGGTGGGGGGTTAGGGGGTGGCTGTCGAGGGCTATGCCCGAGTCTGTTGTTACCAGCGCACATACAACCCTAGCCAACTTATGGCAGCCCGAGCGGCAGCGCCAGTGCGCGCACATAAGGGGGGGGGGGAGGGGGGTTAGGGGGTGGCTGTCGAGGGCTATGCCCGAGTCTGTTGTTACCAGCGCACATACAACCCCAGCCAACTTATGGCAGCCCTAGCGGCAGCGCCCGTGCGCGCGCATAAAAGGAGTTGGGGGGGGGATGCGTAATACGTATGCGTAATACGTGGTGCGTAAGCCCTCTCCGACACCTTGGGCGTGCAAATGCGTAATACGTATGCGTAATGCGTGAGGCGTAACCCCCGTCGGCCGCCACTTCTCACTCGAATCCGGAATGCGTGTGCGTAGTACGTGGTGCGTAGGCCCTCTCCGACAGCTTGGGCGTGCGAATGCGTAAAACGTATGCGTAATGCGTGAGGCGTAACCCCCGTCAGCCACCACTTCTCACTCGAATCCGGAATGCGTGTGCGTAGTACGTGGTGCGTAGGCCCTCTCCGACACCTTGGGCGTGCGAATGCGTAAAACGTATGCGTAATACGTGAGGCGTAACCCCCGTCAGCCACCACTTCTCACTCGAATCCGGAATGCGTGTGCGTAGTACGTGGTGCGGAGGCCCTCTCGGACACCTTGGGCGTGCGAATGCGTAAAACGTATGCGTAATACGTGAGGCGTAACCCCCGTCAGCCACCACTTCTCACTCGAATCCGGAATGCGTGTGCGTAGTACGTGGTGCGTAGGCCCTCTCTGACACCTTGGGCGTGCGAATGCGTAAAACGTATGCGTAATACGTGAGGCGTAACCCCCGTCGGCCACCACTTCTCACTCGAATCCGGAATGCGTGTGCGTAGTACGTGGTGCGGAGGCCCTCTCCGACACCTTGGGCGTGCGAATGCGTAAAACGTATGCGTAATGCGTGAGGCGTAACCCCCGTCAGCCACCACTTCTCACTCGAATCCGGAATGCGTGTGCGTAGTACGTGGTGCGGAGGCCCTCTCTGACACCTTGGGCGTGCGAATGCGTAAAACGTATGCGTAATGCGTGAGGCGTAACCCCCGTCGGCCGCCACTTCTCACTCGAATCCGGAATGCGTGTGCGTAGTACGTGGGGCGTAGCGCGCCTTGAGAGGCACACCCCGATCGGGCACGACACCGAAATACGCGACGTCTGGCCGACGCACTATGGATCGCGGGCGCGTATTTACATAACATGGCCGATCTGTGCATTCTGGGCGATTACGTATGCGTAGCAGTACTGACGACCTCCCCGCCCCCCGCGCCGGGCGGCAGCGGCACGACGGGGGCGCTCGGGTAAAAATTCTTTTGCGCTTCGGCCCCCCCCGGCCACCTGTGCATCCGCGTCGTGCGAGGGGCTCCTCGAGTTGCAGTGAGTGTAGGGACTGACATGGGGAGTCTCCTTCGCGCGGCGATCCTCCTCCTCCCCGCTGCTGGCCACGCCTCCCGTCGCCTGGTCATCCGTTCAGCGGCCGCGGCTGCCGTGACGGTGCGGCCGCTGGGTGCGATAGCCAACTCCGACCCGACTCTCACCGCCGTATCCACGCTGAACGCCGGCGCGGACTACACGTCACTTGCAAGCGGCGTGAAGGTGAAGGAGGTGCGGGCCGGGACGGGCCCAGCGGCCAAGATCGGCGACACTGTGTTTGTTCAGTACTCGGGTCGCTGCCTCAACCTCAACGGGAAGAAGTTCATCAGCACACAGGACGCCGCCGCCAAGACGTCCGGTCTGGCCATCAGCGAGCCGTTCGTCTTCAAGCTAGGGTCGGCCACGGTGATCCCCGGGCTCGAGGCGGCTGTTCTCGGCATGTCCAAGGGCGGGTACAGGCGAGCGGTGATACCGGCCAGCCTGGGCTACGACGCGGATATGAGCCTCGGGCCCACGCCCGAGAGCTTCCAGGATCTGAGGTCGCTGGAGTCGATCGTCAAGAACCCGAACCGGGATGCGTCACTGCTGTTTGACGTGCAACTCGAGCGCATCAAGTGACTTTGTGACTTCGTGATAGGAATATACCGCATTTTTTTCCCCCATGAAAAATAAACAGCTAACAGGTCCCCGCCCGTGCGATCTTTGTGCAGGGTTCTTTGTGGGTGTGGTTGGCGACTACGAGCCGGGGTCGTCCTCACGATGGGGGACTAGCACTAGCCGTCTTCCACATGGTCCCCATGTGACCGACGTGTACCTCTTACCTCTTACCTTACATGCCATGAAGAATGAAACGCTAACGACAGGCTAACGACTGCTTAAACAAATAATTAAACGGAGGGATGTATCAGCCTTGGAGCAGCGCGTCAAAGTCGATGTTTGGCTCATAGTGCGCGACCGCCGCGCTCACGCGGGCCGTGTCGTGGATCGAGTGCTTCGCGGTGTAGCTCTCGATGATGTGGAGCGCGTCGAGGGTGCCGTAGCGCGTGATGAGGACCGGCGCATTCGAGTCCTTCGCCATCTGGGTGAGGTACGTCAGCGGCTCCGTGTCGTCGGGGAAGGCCTCCTTGTCCGGGAAGCCCTTGGAGGCGCCTGTGCACGCGAGGTGTGGGGAGAGATGGGGAGAGATGGGGAGAGATGGGGAGATACAGGGAAGCCCTTGGAGGCGCCTGTGCACGCGAGGTGTGGGGAGGTTTGGGGAGAGATGGGGAGAGATGGGGAGATACGAGGAGAGATGGGGAGAGATGGGGAGATGTGGGGAGAGATGGGGAGAGATGGGGAGAGATGGGGAGAGATGGGGAGATACGAGGAGAGATGGGGAGAGATGGGGAGATATGGGGAGATATGCCCTTGGAGGCGCCTGTGCTGAGCACCATCGCGAGATACAAATATCTCCCCATATCTCCCCATATTTCGCCTGTGCTGAGCACCATCGCGCCCGCCCAGTCGCGCGGCCCGTCGACCGCGCCGCCCTGCGCCGTCATCAGCCGCTGGTGCTGTGCGAGGTAGCCTAATTAACTAATTAACTAATTAACCAGCCTAATTAGCTAATCAGCCGCTGGTGCTGTGCCAGGTAGCCGAGCAGCAAGTCGTCGCGCGTCACGTGCGTCACAAAGAGCGGCCGCCTACTCGGGCTGAACTCATTGATTAATCCACCTACTGGTTCGTTAATTAGTTAGGCCGCCTCCACTCGCTCGGGCTTAACTCGTTAGTTCATCAAAACTCGTTAATCAATTAGTTAGTTCATTAGGCCGCCTCCATTCGCTCGGGCTTAATTCATTAGTCCATTAAAACCAGGTAATCAGGTACTTAGTTCATTAGGCCGCCTCCACTCGCTCGGGCTTAACTCGTTAGTTCATCAAAACTCGTTAATCAATTAGTTAGTTCG